CAAGACAGCAGTTTTTCTTGAGAGGTCAGTGACATTAGCATGAATGGTGACATTTCAGCTGAAGCTTCAAGGTTTTGTAACAGAAGAGATGTGGACTACAAAGACTTCAGACAGAGGGACCTTTCTCCTAGGTAAAAAAGCAAAGAATCTACACTGGTCTTTCAGGAAATATCAGGGATAACACTGCAAGAGCAGATTTCGGCCAGTGTAGTGATGGGTGCTCAGCAAAACCTGTCCCCTCCCCCATTCCACATCTTCCCCACTGGCTTGTCCCTGCAGATATTAATGGTCTCAATCTGAATATCACCTCCAGAGAAGCTGTCCCTGCACACCCCTTTCTAAGCAAATTCCCTGCCCTGTGCATTTCCTTGATCACCTTCACCCTAATGTAAAACGTGTCTGGTATTTCCTTGTTCCATTCTGCATCACAGGCTCCTTCAGACAGTTCTTCTTGTGCCCTTGTCTTTCTGCCACCAAGAGGAAGGCTTGTCTACCAGTAAGTGCTCTGCAAGCAGCAGCTCCTGACTTACAGGGTGGAGTAGGGACAGCAACAAAGAACTATATTGAAGTCATAAATATTGGACAACTTTTGGCTGGAAAGTCTATGTGATGACCCAAGGAGTTAGATCAGCATTGAGCCTGGGGATATGAAAATGTGGTGCATTCACAGGGCCAGGGCCAGAGCTGCCACCTGGGGTTGCCAGTCGAAGGGGAGGATTGTGCTCAGAGCTAAATGAAGTCCCCTGGGGAGAATGGGAAGAGGGCCTGTCATGTTTCTAGGCTCTTGGAATTTCCTGCTGGGGAAAGTAAAGGCTGGTCTCTGACAGTCTCGGGTGCTGTTAAAGGATAGCCTTAGTTGAGCACCCGTGTTGTCACTTGGATGTGGTGCAGGGTGGATGGCCAATTAGTTCTGGGTAGGATAGCAGAGTGAAAAGGAGACTAATGAGCTGAGCAAGATGTGGTTGAAGGTGGCTAGAAATTAAGCAAATGGAGCAAGATCCCAGAGGAAGATGTAATGTCAGAGAGCAAAGCATCGCCCCAAGCAGGGGCCTGGTCAGAGTCCTGTCCCCGGGGTTGAGAGAGACTGCTACTCACTCATCCACCTTAGCCTCTGGGGCAGCACTTGCGGGGGGGGGGTGCAAAAGAGCAGCACAGACTGCTGTTGGAGAGAAAGACACAGAAACAGGCAGGAGGATGCCCCATGTCCTGAGCAAAGGAGCAGGCTGCTGGGGTGCCTAGGAGCACTGCTGCTGTAGCCATAGGCTGTGTTAGCCTCATAGCCACATGATCACACCATGCCTCAGATTCCTTACCTGGAAAAGTGACAAGGCATCTCCTTCACGGCTGTTTTTGGCAATGGATGAAGGAACACACATGTGTGAATGGTGACAGAGGTGCCAATGTACAAAAGAGGTCAATTCTACCTCCCAGTGGGAAGAGGGAGTGGCCCTGTGAGAGGCAGCATGAAATGATTGAGATTCTTGTACCAAGTCCCCTGGAGGTAGACAGTGTGGCAAGCAGAGCTCCTCCCTGGCTGATGGGAAAGCCACTCAGGGAGGGTGGCCTTAGGGAGGAACTCATGTGGTCTGATATATATGGGAAACCCACCAGAGGGAATCACTGGGCCCAGTGGTGACTGCTCTGCATGTACAAAGTACTTGGGGTATCATTGCTGAAGTTCTAGCTTCTGACAAATCATGGATATCAAAACCTCTGGGGATGAATCAAGAAGTGCAGGAGCTAGTTTGGCTTTCTCTTGGAAGTAATGGAAGCAAAGGCTTTTCAGGAAATTGGAATTTGAGCTTCAGCATTATTTGCAATGACAATACAATGTCTTAGAGGTGCCAAGGAAATTACTGAATGGATAAAAAGATGAGTGGACTTAAGGACATGGAAGCCCAGCTGGAAACTGGGGTGACAGACAAAACTTGAGAAGTAGCAAGACTATGGCCACAGCCCAGCCATGTGGAGAATGAGGCCTTAAGCCTGTGCTGTGGTCAGCACTGACTTGCTGGCTGTCCTAAAAAGTGAATGTTGGGAACCCCTGTTCATCTCATTGCTCCGTTGGCTTAAACAGTGCTTTAGGCAGCATTGCTCCTTCAGAAGAGTCTGGTGGCCTTTCACAATGACTGTCCTGCTTGAGCCCACAGTTCCTTCTCAGCCCCCTTTGCCAGGCTATCCCTGTCCTCAATGTCACATTCATCTGTGTCAGGAATTAGCTTCATTCCTGACCCCTCAACCCCTATACTCGCTTCAGGTGAAGATTTCACTTTCATTAGCTAATGTTTAAAAGCACTTTCAAATTAGGATAAGGTTGGTGATTAATGTTCGTTTGAACAAGTATTTTATTTAGTTATGGGTACCATCTTGTGCATGTTTTGATTCTCCCTGTTAAAGACGAAGAAGAAATCTAGTCGGGCTGGCCGCAGTCAGCAGCAGATTTGAGAAAACCCCACCTGACTCTTCAGACACCAGGCCCTGCTAGCAGGCAGGCCCCATACACCAGGGCCTGTCTCCCTTTGGCGTTTCCAAGTTACTCGGTTGTTTTCTTGTGTTGGGCTTAATTTTCCCCAGCTGTACTTCCTCTAGCTGGGACATTAACTGTGAAGACAGAATCTCGGCACAGTGCGATTACAGGCCAACTCTTTATTCCCTTTGCACTTGTCAGGCGAATTTCCTCAACCCCACAGTGCTCTTTAGGGGCTCCCTTTTGTTGGGCTACTTTCTAACAACTGAGAGAATGTACGCAGCAAGCGCTGTGCATACCCCACAATGAGAAACCCCACAAATGAGAGAGGCTTTCATGCTTCCTGGGGCTCAGCCCACATACCTTAGGGGTGGCTCAACCGTTCTGGTTTCACTCTTGTACCTTAATTATGGCAGCACCACCTCAGGTTTCTTCCCACGAGCTGCCTGCTTGGCATCAGTCATGGTCAGAAATACCTGCTTTAAGCACTTCTCCCAGCTTTTGAGGGCCATATGAATGCCTGCCATGCTCTCTCCACCTTGGCCCATCCTACCTCCATTGTGGTAAAGTGGTATCTGGAAGGCAGGTGGCTTTCTCTTACCATTCTGTGCAGTTCTGTGCTGCCAGGCTGGCTCCTGCTTTCTTTAGCATGCATCTTAGTTATGGTAGCATTTCCACCTCACATAACTTTTAGAAAAATGTCAGCATTTTGCCACTAAGGACATAGCCCCTATCCAGTTGGTTGTTGGTGTTAAGGACAGCTTCTACGCCAGGGTGAAGCCCAAGTATACACTTCTAGCTTCATTTTAGCAAAGGGTCCAGCACCACCCAGAGCCACACTCTTCTCAAGGACTGCCTGGCCACCCCCCTCCCCCATCTCTAGGAAGCATTGGTCTGAGTCGTTCTTCCTGCTGCTGGGCCCCAACCACCCTACTCAACTACTTCAAGAAGGTCTCTGAGCCATGGTTCATTGCAACTATCATTTATTAAAAAATATATGTCTCCTTGGAAGGAACACTGGTAAACCAACTATTATCATGCTTACTTTGAATCTTTGCTTTTCTTCCCTGGGAGGGAGGGCTGAGCATTATTCAGACATGTCAGTTACCATCAGAGAATCAACACTCCCTGCTCACCCCCCCTCATGAGAGTCACAATCATCTGTCGCTTTATCCCTCTTTGCCTTCAATCCAGTGTACTGCCCAAGAGAAAGCTGCTGCCTTTTCTTTCTCCTAAATCTGGGCCCCACAAGTCACAGTTAGCCTCATTATGCTGGTAGGATACCTGTGAACAGAGAGTTCCTGAATGTGGCTGGTAGTGCTTTAAAGTGTCAACAACACTGCGTCACCTGCAATGGTCCTAACCCAGTTGAGGGCCAAGCAATTCTATGTTCTCCCCTGCATCATCCCTCCAGTGTGGAGGTGAGGGAGGCACGTTGGCTTCGAAGGAGCACAGTGGGGTGGGGTAGGGCCTGGACCACACCTGCTGCCTGCACTGGCGGCGGGAGGAAAACTACCTGGACCAGTCACTGCCATCAGACTCTGGGAAAAAAGCAACAAGATTTCACAGCTCACCAGTAAGTGAGTCTTAGCTCTACAGCTCAAATTTACAGCATTAAAGTCTACTTTCTTCTTGAAGAAACAGTAAGCTACCAGCTGTTGGTGAGGGGGCTGGGGTAGGGCAAATGGAGCAGTTGCAAAAGAAAAGAACCCAAATCCAAATCAATACATGGCTGGCCAAGCCTGGTGCTCTTCCACTGTCCCAGCACAGAGCCGGAAGGCAAGCACCTCCCTATCCCTGTCAGTGGCCCCATGAAGGAACCCCTAGCTAAGTCCAGCATGGTAACTCTGAGCCCCAGCTTCTATTCTCTGCCCTCACCAGCCCCTGCTTTCCCTCTGTTGACTGGATGGCCAGGCCTAAGTTACCTGCTGTATCCCAGGCCTGACTCCTTCAGAACCTTGCAAGCCTTTAGAACACTGGCAAATAGGATTCTACGCATTCACTTAAATAGTAAAAGTAAAATTTGGAATAATGAAAAGGCTGACACAGTAGCACAACATGGTTTTGGTTTAACAGCAGCTTAAAAATGAACAAAAAGGAAACCTCTCATGCAGACACATCAGGCGGCATAAAACAATAGGCAATTTCATCCGGAGCATCATTAGCCATTCATTCTCTCTTTCTGCACAGGAATGATTGCCCTGCTGGGGCAGCAACTGCTTTCAGTCAAGTCTCCAATCTCAAACTCCCAGCCAAAGTCCCTTCTCTCATGCTGCAGGTTGGCCCACTTGGAGCAAACCTTAGCTCTGAAGAGAGTGACCAAATTTGAGTGAGTGCTTTGGTATAGCACTTACTACCGCTGCCAACCCCTTCCCAACCAGGTGGAACATAAGATGTCATCTGATTGGAATATGAAAATTAAAGCATTTCTCTAATAACATAGTAAGTACCATTGATGGACATCTCCATAGATTTTCTAGTCCCAATGTATGTGATGAAAATTAAAGCATTTCTCTAATAACATAGTAAGTACCATTGATGGACAGCTCCATAGATTTTCTAGTCCCAATGTATGTGAATATATATATATATATATTATAGTGGAGTGTATAATATATATATATAATAATTTCTATATATTTTATATAAATTACATATAAATATATCTATATATAAATAAGATACTTTCTGTTGCCATTACGTTGCATCGTTCAGAGCTGCAAGCCAGCAGTACAGGGTAGAAATGCCCGGGAGCACCTCATCCTGTGGGCTGTTTCGCTCACTTCACAAGCTGTGCAGTTGTCCAGAGTCTGTCTTTCCATCAGTCCTCCTCTTGGCTCTTCGCTTCTGCTGGGTGTTTATGAAAACAACTCTGATGGATTTGCACCTGTGCTAGCGCGTGGGAAAGGTCCATGCAGGAATGGGCACAGTCACATGATGAGTGAGATGGCATCATCCCAAAAAATAAACTAAAACAAAACAAAAAAATTTAAAAAAGAACAGGACTAGAAAACTCAATTTCTGACATATCTAAAAAGGGGCGGGGGGGACAAGAACAGTAGTCATTTGTTCTCCCCATGGGGACAGGAATGAAGAGGAGGGAGGGAAGAAGGGCTTGATTTCTTCTGTTCACAAGAGAATGGTTGGAGGGGATTCTTCAGAGTTTTTCAGGGGATGGGACCCAAATGTAGTGCCCAGACTGGTCCTCAATGATTTGTTTGATTTTGTTATAAATCGCTTCCAGTGAGTCACCCTGTACAATGGCTAAAGTGAAGAGAGAGAAAAAAATTATCACAGTGGTCCATAACCCTCCCTTCTAAGCCCCAGCCCTCCTGCCTCTCTTAACTAACAACCCTCCTGTAATGTCCCTGGGGTATGACGGACGCTCACAGAAACATGGGTCTGGCTTCTTGAGTTAACTGTCTAGAGTTCAGTGCAGAAGTGTAGCTGGCTAGGTGCCCAGAGCCCAGGGCTGAACATCAACTGCCAGAGACAGTAAGATGAACAGGAAATACATTTATTGTAAAGATGTTTATTGAGTACCCACTGATGCCAGACACTGAAGTTCTCATTGCTTTTGTCTGCCATGAGCTGGCAGCCTCTAATTCTAAAGCAGCTTCACCCCAAAATTTGGAAAACCCCAGTTATTCAGGGGAAGAGCAGAAAGCCACAATTTCTGGCAAGAGGCAGAACTCCTAGGAGCCATCACATCTGTTGTGTCAGGGGTCAGCCCAACAGGGACAGAGATATGGATGGTTCAAAGGACTCCAAAGACCCATGGTATGTAATTAATTTCTGAATTACTTACTTGGCTAACCCAATGATATGAGCTTGAACTTACTCATGACCTGCACGTATACATCCAGTACTGTTTGTTAAAGGGACCCTTCCCAACCTTTTAAAAACTGGCCTTCTAAAGTGGGTGTCATGTACACACATGCAGACTGACAGACAACTTAAACACTACACTAAGAAAGCATCAACAAACATACACTAAGAAAGCATCAACAAGCATTTATTTAGCACCAAAGCATGCAAGGCAAAAAAAAAAAAAAAGAAGAAAAAAAAGAAAGAGAGAAAGAAAAAAAAAAAGAAGAAAAAAAAGAAAGAGAGAAAGAAAAAAAAAAAGAAGAAAAAAAAGAAAGAGAGAAAGAAAAAAAAAAAAAATCAGGAAGAAAAGCAAGGAAGGAACGAGACAAAGGAACGTGCAATCTCACAGAGCAAGAAAACAATAAACAGAGCAACCGCCTGGGAGTGGCTTGTGCTAGAACCTGGCTAACTGGTGGCTGACAGGAAACCTGAGTGCCTGGGGAAAGGCCTGTGCTAAGTGACTGCAACTCTCCAGGCATTTTAGCTCTGCTTAAATCTCCCTGAGCTAGTGTCTGGCTGACCCCACAGACTCGTGACCCACGAACTCCTGGGTTCTTACCTGTAAAGTACTCTCCAAACTCTTGCTCCAGTTTCATGGCTTTGTCATAGATCTTATTTGCTTGTTCATATGTCTGCCTTCGGTTCATTTCCCTGCCAAAGACACAGAAGCGATACATTTCTAAAGGAGATCCTCTGTTTTAATTAACACAGCAAAATGTTCTAGATTTCCTGAAAATCTGCTAAACAGCCACCTTAGAGTAGCCCATGGCTAACTCCCTCCTCAAAACCTCCAGGTCTAAAAGCCCAACTGGGAGGGAGTAGCATGCCCAGGCCCCCAAACAGGAGGAAGAGCAGATACTCAGAGTTGGTTTCAGGCTTTCTCTGGGTCCTACCCCAGCCCAACAAAATCTGTTTTCTTTCCTCTGCAAGGTCATGTGAGTCCCACAGACACTTACATAAGTGCTTCAATGGACTTGGGCTTGATGAAAACGGCAATGGGGTAAAGTTGTGCTTGCTGCAGTCTCTTTATAGCGTTTCCAGAAACATCTAAGATGCAGTGCTTGCCCTGAAAAAGCAGACCCATATCAATCAGCTCATCCAGTTCCTGCCTACAGGTCCCCACCAAGAATTCCAGGGGCATTCCAAACATCAGGCTGAGGGGAACCCAGAGAGGCTGTCAGGGCCTACTTCTTGTTTCTGTCACGGCTCATATGGATTGTTAAAGAGATTGGATTAAGAAGTACCTTCGAGACTAGTGAAGCTCTGTGCTATGCTTGTGAGGGCCTTCCCAGAAAGGGTTAACTCGGGAAAGAACTGCCATCCCTCGGCCTTGGAAACCCCAGATGGAACAACAAGGGGGAAATAAAAATGCTCCCCATGCACCAGGTTCTCTCTGCTTCCTGCTTGACATGAGACAAGCAGGTCATAAGCCGCTCAGCTTTACATTAGCACAAGTGACAATCCTTTGAAGCCATAAGCCAAAATCGATTTTTCCTCGAAGTTATTTTGTCACAGTGACAAGAAGTCTGATGAACACAGCTTCTATAAACCAGAAAAGGCCACTGCTCCCTAGGGACCTTTTTCCCGGATGGCTGATATGCCAATGAAAATTGCACAACAGAGACATGCCAATGACTAGGAGCTCCGAACATGGAGAGACAGCATAGCTTTGGTCAGCATTATGGGAAGGATGTGAATGCAAGTGGATACCAGGCCTGAGCATTTGTCTTTCCAGTGGCTCAAGCGTAGCCAGACCATCGCCTCTCTGCTTACCCTCTCTGCAACTGCTCGCACTGACTGGATGCTGGTCCCATAGAGATTATCGTTGAACTGGCCTGCCTCAATGAACTTGTTGTCCTGAATATCCTTCTCCATCTGCTCCCGGGAAACCACAAAGTGGTAATCCTGTCCATCTACTTCATTGTCACGCCGAGGCCGGGTGGTATCTGAAGGAAGGGAGGGAAGGTGGGAGAGAGGAAAAGAAGGAAGGAAATGTCGTGTCATGTGCCCCTCGACAACTTCATCCTTTCTCACAGGAGGACACAAGGCCACTACAAAATTTTTCAGATGAATGAGAAAAAGCATTTGGAAAGAATTTTGTCTGGCCCATTTCTCTTCCAAACTCCAAATATTATATACAGGGTGCCTGAAGTTAATGTGGGCCAAAAAGGTGGGGCTTCCTAAGACATGGCCTGGTGGAGGATGCAAAACTTGGCATGGGAGTTAGGGAAACTCATCAAATCATTCCTCAAATCATTTTGTGTACAATACCTGGGTTTAATCACCAGCACCACAAAGAAACAAAAACCAAAACAAGGATGGGCTTCCCATTTGTAAAATCAATCCTGACCATCACCACCCAAACTTTTACTACATAGCATAAGGCAAGCAGCCAAGCTGGATGTCACCCTTACCAATCCCATCTACTATGGGGGCATCTGTTGCTACTTACTCTCTTCCAGGAGGTCCCCAGAGGCCCTGATCCTAGACCCCTTCCTTAAAGTACATACTTCCCAGAGTACCAAACCTCACTCCTCTGGGTCTGCCTGGGTTCTTACGTGGCACACAGGATCCAAATTTATGTGGGAACTCAGAGATCAGGTCATCATTGACTCGGTCCTTCATTGGGCCCAAGATGATCACAGGCCTGGCATAGTGAACTGGAGAGGGAGAGCACAAGACAGTGAAGAGAGACCCCACAGAGCAGCCTGCCCCACCTCTGAGTATAGACACTCTGTGGCCACTACTCAGATGAGGTGAAGCAACTATGGCTACTCTCTGGCTTTCAACTATAAAGTCTTCAAAGAGCCTTTAAATTTGATAATCCGGAGTTCAGACAAGTCTGAAATCAGAAGCATCTCCCTTTCCAACAAATTCAGAAAAATTTCTACACAGGTTCTTGTAAAGCAGATACCCAGGGGAGGATACAGACCCTCTCCCTATACAGCAACAGCTGCCTCTACTGAAACAGACCTTCCCTTGCTTTCCTCAAAAATCTGCCTGCCCTCTGGAAGGTGTCCTAGCAGAGGGCAAAAGTATCAAAAGAGGTATTGCAGCATGGCATCTGCCCAGTGATGCTATGGAGGAGCCAATGGCTGGATGTGCCAAGTTTCCTCCTTCCCTAGATGCCCTCTGTACTGAGCCCCATGACCAGGAGACTGGCACAAAAGCAAGACTCTCAGAAGGGGGCTTACTTTCTTGCCGTGTCACTGGCTCATATGACAAAATAGCATCCTCTTGTCCTTCTGCAACAAAAAGGGAAACACATTAGCACTTTTATGATCTGACTGACTGTACACAGCATTCACCACACCCCATACCCACCACACAACAGTATCACTTTCTGTTGGCAAGAAGGCTAAGAAGCCATTCACCAGCCTTGGGCTGGGTTGTTTTCATTCAGTAAAATATTGCCCAATTATGGGCCAAGACCCAAAAGCCAAAAAGTCTCCACCAAACCACCCTAAGCTCTAGGGAACTACTTCTTATAGGTAGTAGTTGGTTATGTTCAGTGGCCCCCTTATTCTGAAGAGAGTCACAGTGAAGCTCCACTGGCTGAAACACATTTGCCAGTCACTTTACCTGAGTCCAGACACTTAGCCCAAGCCCCAAAGCTTCAGCCTAATATGGTCCCTTTAAGGGTCTATTTATTTACCCACCTCACACCTCTAAAAAGCATCTAGAAAAGTGGTGCACATCAGAGCTAAGGTCCCACTGCCCTTTAAGAGCAATGCTGAGCCTGCTCTCTGCTCATGGCAGACCCCCATGCAACCTGGCAACAATGAAGTCTTCCTAAAGCAGTCGCCAAGACACTTGGTGCTGGGTGCCTATGGTTCCCAAAACTAGCTGACAGCAGTACTAGGAAAGACAGTGACATGTGCATGGAGCCACAGGATACTTGCTACAGGGCTTCTGCTGAGCCTGAGACTCCAGGGTGGAGCTTTTAAGACCTCCTCAAAGGTCAATGTTCCCAAAGCTCATGAGCTTTGAACCGTGGCTTCATTGATGTAGTCATAGGCATATTGGGCAATTTCCTTCCTGTCTATATAACCCAGCCAGAAATTAAAGTGGTCCTAGGAGCCCAGAAAGGCAGATGGAAGTCAGGAGCCATTTTACTTTTGGTCTCTGAGCAAATCTGTAAGCCTGGCAGTCTTAACAATCTACATTCCCATGGCAGGGACCTGATCACTGGCAGTTTACCCTTCCCCCAATACCCCAGGGATGGTTTCAAGTTGGGTCCTGGCCAGAGCTGTGGGGCTTATTCTCTCTCTAATTTACAAATTTCATCCCACAAGGTGAATGAACTGGCCACAGCATCTCCAGGGACTCAAAGTGTACATGGCTAAAAGGAGCAGCAGCCTCTGAGTGAGCAGGGATGGTAGCGGTGCAACACTAGAATGATGATGGCTGGGAGACATGGGAGAGCTACAGGACACGGGGCATGACACACACTTACTGGAACTGCTTTCGCTGTCACTGGTGTTGGATGTCACTCCCTCTGCAAGCCAACAAGAAAGAGACTCCAATTCAGAACACACCACTGAGAGGTCTCATGCAGCACAAACTCAAATGCGCCAGGAGTGAGACACTGAGCTGCCAACCAAGGCAGGCCACAGGAGACCTGCCACATCCAGGCAACCAACTGGGACACAGCTCCAATCCTGACGTTCTGGCCATCTCCTCCATGTCCCCAGAGCCCACTCAGTTTGCCAAGTCCCTCCATGGGCACTAGAGCCTTATTCCTTCCATAGCATTCTCTTCATGTGAATCAAGCCAGCTGATTTGGATAGGTTCCAAACCCTGTCTCAGAACTCATCTCCTACGGCTAATGGGCAGGAAGGAAAATAGATAGGAACAGTCAAAGCCCAGGTATGCTGCTGCTCACACATTTTCTCCCAAAAGTACAGAATTGTGTGATACTCTCCAACTTAGAGGCTCATCACTGGATGATGGGACAGTCACCCGGAGCACTACTCTGACCTTTGGTGGGACCCATAGCCTTCCTTCTACCATTGCTGAGGAGAGATTGGCTTCATCAGTGAGGGGGATGCGCCTCGATCCACCACAAAACACATGTCAAATACATAGAAACAACAAGCCAGGAAGACTATCCAAAAGACAAGCCAGCCCTCCCATCACAGACAGTTGGGACCAGCCCATCTTGGAGTGTGGGTGGAGAAACTCAAGCAAAGAGCTGCATTCACAGGAGGAACAGACATGGCAGCCCTCTCAGAAGAACAGCAGGCAAATGGAAATGAGACACAGACACACCAAAATATGGAGAGATGCTGCTCGTTTCAGCCAGGACCATGATATGCTGTGCCCACCTCCCCAGGGACTTGCTGAGTTGTGACACACGGCTAGACCCTGAATAGCCCCAAAGGACAGCTCCTGTGTCTTCCACCTTTCTCTTTTACTGAGGGAAAATATATGTGGACAGAGTCCATCAATGAGGCTGTACTGTGTATACTTGTAGTGAGCAAGGGTGGCTGCTAAGGAACCTCATCTAGGCCCTCCTATTCCCTAATCTGGACTAAGTTCTAGAATGGAGATGTCAGTCAGAGCTTTTCTGAAATAAAATCACTATCCATGGCCCTTAAGTGGTGCAGATGGACCCACTAGGCCATCTTGTCTCCTTAGAGATGCTCTATGGACATCTGGCCTTGGCCTTATGGTAAGAGCTAGACCCCTGAACAGCTCAGGTGTAGGGTTCACCCTATCTCTGGTTAGAAGGACTGGAAAAGCTGCAGTTCCTGACCTTGACTCTTTGATGTCGGGTTACTTGGAGAAGAAGCAACCAGATGGTTCCACCCTCTGCAGAAGCTAAACATCAGCTGAGCACTCACCCGATCATGCACCTAAACCCACCTCACAGCTATGGAGCCACTAAGCTCATGCCGACCACTCAGAGGTGGAGAAGGGAAACAGACAGGAACGCTAGAGCTTTGTTACACTACCAGGGACAATGGTATTGAAGCCACACACATTTCTTCCTGCCATGGAAAAGAGTCTCACAAACACTGCCCTCCCTCACCCTTCACTTTCACCCGTGTACCCTACACCCCCATCCCCACCCCCATGATCTCCATTCATGCCACAAATACAGTTAATGGTGTGTAACTTTGACTTACTCAGGTTCTTTGCTCCATAATAATCGTCACTTAACCCAGGGAAGTCCTGATTTCACAGACAGCAGGGACAGAAAGGGTACAGGAAGGGGAGGGAGGGAAGGAAAGGAGAAAACCGGGGGGAAAGAGAAAAAGAGAGGAAAAACGAGGGGAAGGAAGAATACAGAGGTAGGTGAGCATCAGCGATAGGAGTATAAAGTCCCATGAAGACTTAGAACTACAGTAAGGTGAAGCCATCTGCTGAAGAAAGAATATCCCACATAAGATAGGATGTCTGGCCCTGTTTCCATTCAGCTTGTTGCCAAAAGGCCTTGGAGTAGACCAGTTTTCTAAGGTAGTCTATATCCCATATACCCATAGCACATGACAGGCAACAATCCAAGGCTTAAAAATACTACCTTTGACCAAACTTATAGTTGTAGAGCCCAGTTCTCTGCTTTGCCCCTGCAACACATCTCCCATTGGTGCATGAAAGAGACATATCTATATGCCAAGTGTGCAGACAGAATTATCAGCACCCTGGGAACTCTTCTCCCGAACTACCCCAGTCTGTCCAAGCAAACCTTCAAAGCAAACTTCTCTGTGGTGTCATGTCCAAAGCTTCCCAAAATTTGGTTTCTGGAGAACAGGCACCAGACAATTGCATCCCTTTGGCCAATGTGCACCCCCAACTGGCTAGGCCATTAAACAGTGACATCTCCCCAGGCTAACTCTATGAGCAGTTTCTGGGCTTATCTGGTAAACTGTGGCAACATTACCTCAGATCTTTGTCTCAGATTCCCACTACTCACAAGCAGAATCAACCTCCTGTATCTCTGTCACTGAGCAAGCCCTAGTCTTCATTAGGATAAAGATCCCTTCCTTGTTCTATCAGGGTTATTCTAGGTGGCCACGATCTACACATATCATGATCATGGACCAGGTGGGCCTACTATGGGCCATTTTCTACCAGAACTCATCAGTCTCCTGTCAGACCCCACAGCTCTAGATGACAAGATTGCTCCATGAAAGATGGAGGAGTGATTGGTAAATGAGAGACATTTACAACTCACAATTTCACAATGACATGAATGAGAACCTACTGTACAAACCTGACATGGTGTTTAAGGTTACTGTCAGAGCAACTAATTTCTGAGGCATGCAGTAGGGTAAGATGATTTAGCAAGATTGAATTGGTTCCTAATGCAGCCCAGTATTGTAGCCTGTTCTACCAAATCAGCCTTGTGTTTCCCAATAAATCTTTATTTAGATAATGCCAAGCAACAATGTGCCCACATGAACTCATGTGAGCAGGTATGTTTTCTTCTGGTAACTGGCTCTGCAGGTACCCTGACATAACAGGAAGCCTGCTGTGAGTCATGTGGGTGTTCTGTACGCTTGCACACACACATGTGCATTCCAGAAGCAGTCCCCGACTTTAGGGATCTGGGGAGGGACAGGCTCTTTTCTTAACATACATGAATGAAATTAAGGGAGGGAAAACACAAGAGGTAGGAGCCAGGAGAGCAACACTTAGTTCCTTAATCTTAATTTCTTGAAAAACCATTTTCTAAGCCTGGCACTAGCTGCAAACCATTCTTTATCACCACAGCACAGCTCTGTTTCACACTTCCAGCACAGGTGCCTGGACCATCCTCAGAGGCTCCAACACTCAATCTAAGTGAAGGGCTGTACAAATAAGCCCCAGCGTCTCCCTGTGCAGGCCAGGTTCTATCCTGACTACAAATAAGCAGGTGCGCGCAGACAAGCACTTGGGAGGCCACCAACTCCTTCTAAGGGAAGGGGCAACTGAGGCTGAGAAGACAGGGCTGTGAATGGTCTCCTCTCTGGACTCTGCTGCTACTTACGTTCCTGTATGCTGTTCTCCTGGGCCATGTTTTCTTTGCTCTTGTAAAATGGAAACTTTCGAGAGAGGCGAAAACTCTTTTTACGTTTCGTTTTGATCGACTGTGAAAGAACATGAAGATGGAGGGGGAAGGACAGAGGGAAAAAAGTTTTGATCGACTGTGAAAGAACATGAAGATGGAGGGGGAAGGACAGAGGAAAAAAAAACAACAATGGATTTTAAAGCATGCAAGAAAAACTAAAATGGAGACAATGATGAACTAAATAAAAGACCATCTTTCACAAATGGAGTCTATGAGATTAAATGAAAGTTGATGTTAAGAGGAAAATTATGTTTATAGGAAAATGTGGTAGGGATGTTAGATGCTCTACTTAGTCCAGCATCACTCACTGGCCTTCCTACAGACTAAAGGTCACTATTGCCTCCTAGATACAGCCCTAAGGTGCCACTGATACACAGTCATCTTCCTTCCCTCTATTGCTCCACACATTCTTTGGCCTATAAAGCTCATAAAAGAGACTGATGGGAGAGTCCCCTTGCCCTGTGCTGTCTAGAGGCAGGCAGAAGCTCTGGGGCTGGCCTTCTTGGCACGATGACAACACCAGGTTCTGCTCAGGGTCTCCACAGTTCTGGAAGGGTCTGCTGCCAGGGAGACAACCAGAAGTGGTTTCATCTTCCCCACCACATCAGCCAGCTCCACCCCTTCCAGAGCCAGTCACCCAATAGTAGGGCCACACACTAACTGTGGGCTTCCAGTGCTCCTGCTGCTTGCTGAGAAGCAGGCAATTTCCTAGTAGGACAGAGCCAGCCTCCTGAAAAAGACAGCCTTTCGTGATTCCCAGTTCTCCTGCATAGCAGAGCAAACTCCAAGCCTCTCGCCCCTCTTTCCAACCTGGCTGACTGCCTTGGATGGGGGTGGGGTCCCCACTTACCCGGTTAGACTCAATCATCCCTGTCCTGGCATGGAACTTCACAGTTTTCAATCGAGCTCGCTCTTTCTTTTCAACCCTGTTTGGGAGTCAGGAAGTCTAGTTACTGCCAGCACATGGGCTCAGCAATGGGCTGTGGCAGGCACAACAACCACACTGGCTCATTCAGTGAATACCATGTCCCAAGTACTGACTCTTTTCTAAGAGGCCTAACAAGGCATATACAATGCTCACAAGGAACTCACAGTATGACAGGCAAACAGAGACATACAACCAAGCCTGGTGTGCTAGAGCACGACTGATTCCTAGCACTCAGAAGGCAGAGGCAGTAGGATTACAGCAAGTTTGAGGCTAGCCCGTGATACAGAGTGAGATATTATCTCACAAAACAAATAAAGCAACCAGAGAGAAATAGAGACAGACAGAAATAGAGAGGGAAGAAAGTGAAGGAAATGAGAGAGAGAGGGACAGAGAGAGAGAAATAAGAGAGAGAGAAAGAGAGAGAGAGAGAGAGAGAGAGAGAGAGAGAGAGAGAGAATACAAGAAGTCAGGAATAGCCTTGTTGAAAGCCTTGACAACTCACCTCTTTTTACTAGGGATCACACCAATCTGCTCACTTTCTCCATGTGGAGTCACCAGCCTTGCTTGCCACCACTCGTCATCAGAAGCGTTAATGACGTGCAGAATGTCACCATAAGAGAAACTGAGTCCCTGACTTGGCAGGCAGCTGTCTCGAGTCCGATCATAATCAAACAGGGCCCTGAAACACATGAAAGGTGAAGAGGTCATCCCACCCCTGAATCTGGGAGGCTGGTAGTCAGACAGTCTAGGGAAAGAGACAAACCAATAGCATAGGCATAGTAGTCTCAGCAGACAGGAAGAGACTCTGTGAGATGGTAGCCTTTCAGTACCCAGTTGGTGTGTATATACCTCCTTTTCAAAGAAATGCCCTATTCCCAAGGAGCATAAGGGGAAATTCTTTCACAACTCCCATCTTCTCCCAGCTTCTAGATACACAGTGGCAGCCCAAAGTAGGACCTGCTCAGCTGCCTACTCTCCATTCTCAAATGCAGTAGGATGTGATAGCAGGAGATTTAGAAACAAACATAAAACAAAGCTCCAAAGTTCAGGTCCTGGTGAAGCTAGCCACCAAAGCTTCCTGCTCAGGGAACAAGCATGCCTGAGTAAAAATCTATTCATCCATCTAAGTGTGTGAGCCCAGCACAAATAGGAGACTTCAGTAACAAGTTTCATTATTTTCCTACTCACAAGTAGACTCTATCTTCTTCACGTTCTTCTTTTAATTTTTGTATTTGTGTATGAAAGGGTGTATAGTATGTGTGCTGATGCTTGTGAGGCCAGAAAAGGGCATGGGATCCACTGGAGCTGCAGTAACAGGTGGTTGCAAGTTGACCACCTTAAATGCTGGAAACCAAACTCTGGTCCTCTGGAAGAGCAGCTCATAACTACTGAGCCACCTGTCCAGTTCCTCTCTTTCTCCTTCTCCTCCTTCCTCCTCTTTTTCTTTTGTTTTTGTTTTGTTGTTGTTGTTGTTGTTTTTTGAGACAGGGTTTCTCTGTGTAGCCCTGGTTGTCCTGGAACTCACTATGTAGACCAGGCTGGCTTTGAATTCAGAGTCCCACCTGCCTCTGACTCTTATCTAAAGGCATGAGCCACCATGCCTGGCTCTCTCATTTTTCTTTAACAGTGTATACAGGCCAGGGGACTGCTCAGCATCCAGTGCTAAAACTTTACTTCCATCCCACTTGTATCACTCAGTCCAGCATACCATATCTTCAGATGGAAGACAGGATGTAGAAGCAGAACCCTTGAGACTTGGTGTCAAGACAACTTGAAGATGAAAACTTCCAAGCTCTAACAAAAAGCCCTTTAATTCTCAATGCATACACTTCAAACAATAAGGGCAGAGGCCAGAAGATAAGGCATTTGATCTACAAGGTCTTTTCCAAGCTCTATGTAACAACAGGATCAGAGCTCAATGCATTTGAAAAGAATTGAGTTCCATGCAACCTAAAGCAAGGCAGGCATCTGTCAGCTGTTCTACAAAGACCAACAAGCTGGAGCAACCTAATTCTAACTGATGAGCAATACACAATGGCATTATGTGCTTCAGAACTGGAGAAGAACAGAATTTGTATTAAGCACACATTAGTTAAGAAGTTTGGCAAGGGGAGCAGAAAGATGTCAAAATGAATCAGGAGTTGGGTATAATGCCACAGGGTGGTGGTTACAGAACTGGCAGAAGGACTGTGAGCATGACATACATAGCACGATGGTTTGAATGAGGATGTCCCTCCCATAGGCTCACAAAACACAGGGTTTGTCTTTTTAACAGTCCTGGAACTCACTTTGTAGACCAGGCTGGCCTCAAACTCACTGAGATTCAACTGTCTCTGCCTCCCGAGTACTGGGATTAAAGGCATGCACCACCACCACCTGGTAGGCTCATATATTTTAATGTTTGGTCCACTTGGTAGAACAGTTTGGGAAGGATTAGTAGGTGTGTTTTTGTGGGAGGGGGTGTGAAAACCCAGGGTGAGCTACAATATTTCAAAAGCCTACACTATTAGCAGTTGGCTCTCTCTGCCTCCTGCTGTAGATCAGATGAAAGCTTTCAGCTGCTGCTCCAACACCATGCCTGCCTGTCTGCTGCCATGCTGCCCACCATGATGGCCATGGACTAACCCTCTGAAACTGTAAGCAAACCCCCAATTCATGCTTGCTTGCTTGCTTGCTTGCTTGCTTGCTTGCTTGCTTGCTTGCTTCCTTCCTTCCTTCCTTCCTTCCTTCCTTTCTTTTTCTTTCTTTCTTGATTTTTTGAGAGAGGATTTCTCTGTGTAACAGCTCTGGCTGTCCTGGAACTGGATTCGTAGACCAGGCTCGAACTACAGAGCTCCTCCTGCCTCTGCGTCTGAGTGCTGGGATTAAAAGTGTACGCCACCACCGCCCTACAGTGCATTCTTTTATTAGTTGTTTGGTTGTGTTTTGTCACAGTAAGAAAAAAATAACTAAGATAACTAGTAAGATCCTGTCTCAAAAATTAATAACAAAACTAAAGCCAAACAAAAGAATTAAGGTACAGTAGGGTGTATATGTAAAAGTTGAGAAGGCAGGGCTGACTGGGTAGAAATACAAGGTGTATTTTAGCACCCAAAGAACAGGGCTTGACCTTTGCTGACAACAATAGCAAGCTGGAGAACATAGGAGAACGTTAATACAAATGTGTTTTCTAGATTCCAAGAATCCGATAATTTGTCATTTTAAAACATCTGAAGTTTTGACTAAAACTTATACAACATCTACTTCCAAGATAAGTTCAGGCACTGCACAATATTAAACATCTGTGGAACAAACATAGATCCAGCCAGCAAGAAAGCCAGGTCTTATCGATGCACATTGGGAGCTCTACTGTTCACTGTGTTTTGTAACCACAGCATGTGTTCCTTTTACAATTTCCAAAACTGTAAGGCGATTAAGGAAGAAATTGAGAAACAGCTCCACTAAGTACAGGCTTGAGCCTTTTACTTCAGGAGAGGCTCTAAGTTCCCTGGCAAACAAGGTCAGAAGTTACATAACACCAAATTCCCATTCAAAAGTAGCACCTGTTCCATCTGGATTTTGTTTGACAGCTTTATGAAAGATGGACAAGGCTATATCAAAGAAAGGGATGGACAATGCTTTTAAAACTACAACTTTGTTAAGGACACAGGAACATGATATCTGTTTGAAATTCTAACTAATATGTGCAGTTATGAACTCAAAAGATGAATTAAGAATCTTGTACATGAGCTAGCCTGTTGGAGCCCGTTACCTATTGTAGGATGCCGTGTTCAGTCTTAATGCATAGGAGAGGGGCAGGGTCCTGCCCCCACCTATTGCGTCAGACTTTGTTGACTTTTCATGGGAGCCCTTACCTGTGAGGAGAAGTGGACAAGGGGTGGGCTGGGGGCAGGGGTGGGAGGGAGAACTGTGGTTGGAATCTAAAATTAAATAAAAAATAAAAATGGAGGAAAAAAGAATTTCCTTTTCTATCAATCATGGCTGCAAGTAGGGAAAGAACTCAGCAGAACATTGGGGCTTCAAAGTTCACCTTGTCCACTTTCCTGCCTAAAAGACAAAATTTCTTATGCATTCTTGGAACTTCTTTCTAGTTCTAGTGCTTAATGAGTCTGGGTCTTCCCTTCAACAATTCCCCCTTTGTCCTGATTTTGATCTGTTTTACAAATCCATGATGTGGGGTTTTCTCTAAATCCACTCCTCCTCTTTTCCTGCTGAAATTATGTTATGCTAAGAATTAGAAGCCATTCTCCTAGATGAAGGTCAGACCCAGCAGTACAAAGGACAGGATTCAGTGCTGTATGATGGGCAACTATCAGACCGGGACCCTTAAATGTCATGAGGTCTAAGTCATAGCCAGCTAGCTTTAAAAATACACACACTAATTTGCCATATGGCTATGTATAGAAAATACTGCCCCTCCATTTATATATTTGGACTATTCTTTCTGCAGGCACTCGGTTAAATATGAGAAGCACAAAACAATGTTATGCTAAGTTTTTTCTATTTGCACTTTTGATCAATAGAAAAGAAAGTTCTTAATTAATCTTTAATATTCTTAACCGAATGACCTAGCACAGCTTGCCCTCTGACAGAGGGGCACAGTAGGCTGAGTACAATGCGGCAAGAAGCACAGAAAGGGGACAAAGCAAGATCTAGATCGTTCCTAGGAAGTATAGAGCACCTGTGAAGCAATAAAAAGGTATTTGTTTTTGAATGGGGTCTCATTCAAAATTTCCAAAGGTAAAGATAGGGAGCAAATGGTCCTTCTAGCTGGAGTAAGCAAAGGCTTGGAAGGAAGGAATAAAAGGGATGGGCAAGATTCATCATTGCATTCATATGTGATTGGGCCACAGTGAAGAGCAGCTGGATTGTCCAGCTGAGGGGTGTGGCATTCACTTAATAGTGAACCACTTCATTGCCTTGACTTTTTCATTAGCATCATATTATGCTTTCATGTGGAAATGAACACAGCAAAGGAGAACAAGCCAGTGTTTTAAAGTCAATCTTTCACATAGCACATAACATATTTCATGTAGCAAGAAAGGTATATATATTAGACCTTAATAAATGTTTAAAATATGTCAGCTATCGTCTAAAACACATTGTGGTTTTTCAAGACAGGGTTTCTCTGTGTAGCCTTAGCTGGCCTGAAACTCACAGAGATCTGCCTGCCTCTGCCTCCTGAGTGTTGGGATTGAGGCATGTGCTACCACCACCTGGCCCCTCTAAGATGTTTGAAAAGCATGCTATGGACTGGAAACATGGAGCTTGTTAAGAGCACTTGCTGCTCTTGCAGAGGACTTGGGTTCAGTTCTTAGCACTCACATGGTGGCTCACAACCATTCATAATTCCAGTTTCAGGAGACCGGATCCCATCTTCTGACTGCCACAGATACCAGGCACACACATTGTACACATATACACTTGCAGGCAAAACACTCATGCACATTTTTAAATCTATTTTTTTAAGAAAAAGCATGCTAAATTGTGGACCTCTAACATGGTTGCTAGGAGAGAAGGGAGTCATTTCCGTCTGTGCCACTGATAAGTTTCCCAAGCTCCAGTAAAAAATTTCCCCATTCATGCTCATGCAAGTAACCATAATTAACCTCAGTGAGTCACAAACAAAAGGGACAAGTGAGGGTAATGGGGGTGGCAACTAACCAAAATTCATATTTC